TCCCCAGCTCAAGGGGACAAGCTGTAGAGTCTGCTGTGTTGGGGGGGGGGAGGGACGCGGACCACTGGGCCTTTGCTAGAGAGCGGGAGGTGCGCAGTGAGAGGTGAAACATGGCTAGCCAACTCCGAGAATGCGCTCGGGAGCTCTGCCTGAACTAGGCCCAGGGAAGAGCTTTCAACTTTCCCGGAGATCAGAGCCCCAGACTGTCCTAGCTGAGCACCGCAGGGTGCTTGGCTGAGGAGCCCCCGAAGGCAGGGCAGTAGGTACAGGGCAGCCAGCCAACCCCACAGTGCTCTGTGTTCTGTTCAGATTCTACCTTAGCGACAACCTTATTTTTCTACTCTGGCCTTTCAGGACCTATGGGCCTGAAAAAAGGTGAGCGAAGAAGGGGCTCGAGGAGGTGTGCAGATTGGCAGAATTCCTCTGATGCACACCTGCCGAAGCCGCTGACAACTCCACAGAGGCCACAAAGACATTTCCGAAAAGGTCCTGGCGCGGCGTCTGATTATGACCAGAGAGTCTAAGGTCTGGGGTGGGCATAGGGAAGCCTTCTGCTTTGAAAGTCCCGAAGGGCTGGAGGGGACAGAGAGGCTACTGGGAAGACCAGAGCGAGAAGCGGAATAGAGGCCAACTGACTGTGTGGGGAGGGCCTGGAGTGGGTGTGGGGGAGAGTGCTGCACAGCCAGGACTGCTTTCCTTCGCTTCACGGAAGGATCCTGGGAGCCCAGGAAAGAAGCCGAGAGCTCGACGGTCAGGGCAGAACCAAGGAGTCATCAGAGATTCTGAGAGCGAGTCCGGGAGCCCGGGACTAAGGCCGGCCCCTTCTCCCCTTAGGTTCCTTGCTCCCCTTCGGGTTTGCTATTTCCTTGTGGGAATCCCACAGCCCTTTGTCCTCGCGGTTGGCTTTGCCCGCCACCGGCCCCCTCCTTTCCCCTGGGCGGGCGCGGCTCCTTCCTCAACCCCCTCCCCCGTTCCGGGCCTCCCCTAGTGCCCAGGGAATGAGAAGAACCCGGCGGCAGCCGTGAGCAGCCTCTCAGCAACCCATTTGTGGAGCAAAGCGAGGGTGTCAACAATGGCTGAATTGGCCCTACTGGACAGTTTCCCATGTACCACTCCGGAATCATTACCTCGCGGGCTGGATTAGGATGCTATTATCATAATCTGGACGTTTCCAATTATCTGTAATTTGCAAAGATGCACCAGGTCCTGATTACAGCAGTGTGTGTGTGTGTGTGTTTTTATCAAGCTAACCATCACTAAACAGTGACAGTAATAACCGCTAATTTCGCTGGCGATATAAGAGGTGCTGGGCTGTGCGAACAAGTTCACACCTGGCTGTGCTCACTCAACCGAGGACGGAGGGAGCTAGAGCTGCGCCCGGAGGAGCCGCAGCCGAGCTTGCTCGGCTCTTCGGGCCAGCTCAGCGCTAGCGACCCCGAGCCGCGGCGCGTAAGTGCTGCAAGCTCTGGCCCCGGGGGTAAGTGCGCCCTTCTCGCGTCCTTCCAGCCTGCCTCAGTAGCTGCTTTGTTCCATTATCTCGGAGCCTTGGGAGTGGAGGGCTCGGCCTCTGGAGCCTCCACGGCCAAAGGGCTTTCGATCGAGCTCCCAGGCCTCCGCTCCCAATCTCGGCCCTGCAAGACAGAAGTTGGAGTAGTGGGCGGGGGTGGGGGGTGGGGGTGGAGAATGGGATGGGGACACTGAGGCAGAGATCGTGGAGGCAAGGAAGGCCGGACCCTCTGCTCAAGATGGATACTCAGGAAACCCAGACACTCTCTCTCTCTCTCTCTCTCTCTCTCTCTCTCTCTCTCTCTCTCTCTCTCTCTCTCTCTCTCTCTCTCTCTCATTGTCTCTTGTCTCTTTTTTGTCTGTCTGTGTCAGCCTTCGGTCTCTCTTTGTCTCTATTCTCCAATTCTGTCTCTGTCTTGTTCTCTTTGTCTTTCTGCTTGTCTGCCTTCCCAGTTCACCCATATATACACCTTTTTTCTTTCTCGCCTTTACTGTATACACTTGATCAATGGACGGATGATATATTTGTTGGCTTCTGGTGCATGCGGGTAGTGGAGCCCCGGAAAATGCTGCGGTTCCGTGACCTTGCAGGCCCTGAGTGATAGTCTGAGCTCCGAAGACAGATATGGGATTTCTCAGTCTGGCCATGCCAAGGCTGTTGCCCTGGCCTACACACGGTTCTGTCTGGGCTGCATGCTGTAGGTGCTCCAGAGGGTCACGCCTGCAAGACTTCTGGAGCTGCTTTTTCCATCCTGTGCCTGAAAATGTCCCTAAAGGCTGGTGACCTCTGTCTGAGTTCCTCTCATTGATGCAGCTTGACTTGGGTCTCCGAGCTGGCTGCGGGTGCAGGGCTGTTCCTAAGAAACATCCATTTCTTTGGCGTGCTTCCCATGCTAGCCTGCCCCTAGCTCTCTGGGAGTTGCTTAGGGCCTGCTAGAGGGACAGAAAGAAAGCTGAAAGTTGGTTTTTTAGATGGGACGACCTTCCTGTCAATGCCCTGCCCCAGACCACAGCAAAGGTGTCTCCCTCCAGGGCTAAGTGGAGGTTGAGAGAGCTGCTCCCGGCTGTCCATAGATGCCGCTGTTTCCCGGAGCTCAGGGCCTCTCTCCTTGGCTCCAGTTGACGGCTCTCAAAGTGAAAGAAATCGGAGAGCTGGAGAGCTCGTGGAAGCCAATATGTCCTGCCCTTCTCTATTCAAGAGGAAGAGCTCTCCTTGGACGCTGAACCTTGGTGAATGAGCTGTGTCAAAAGACAATGAAATGGTCAGGGACTTTGGCTAGCAGGAGGGGAGGCCCTGCTTTCCTTCCCACACAACCCCATCAGCTTTTTAAAGAGAGACCTGCAGTTGGAGCCCTGAAGGTCTTCTCTCAACTAGCCCCAGTCAGGGCCACTGCCTCTGGGTACCAGGAAAGGTGATGCTTACACACTTCTCTTACCCATCCTGGACCTCACAGTCAAGGGCTTCGGAAGGAGTCTATTCATTCTGCATAACTCATGAGGTTCAAGGAGTCCAGGGCCGGTTCAACTCTGTTCTTGGGTTGAGATTGCAGACCCCTAGAAGACAGATTCCTCCCACCCCCAGTGATCCCAACCCAAAGGAGCAGTAACCACTACATAAGACTTTGGGGAAGGAAGGAGAGAGGGAAGAAGAAAAGAAGGGAGGAGGAAGGAAGCAAGAAATCAAAGAAAGAAAAAAAAGATTGAGGAAGGAGAGGAAGGCAGGGAAAGAAGGAAAGAGGGAAGGAAGGAAAGAAAGAAGGAGGGAGGAAAGGAAGAAAGGAAGGAGGAAAGGGAGGAAGGGAGGGAGGAAAGAGGGAGGAAAGGTTTCAAAGCACCAGGTCTTCCAAGCTCCTAGGAGCTCTCTGGGGTCCAGGATGCCAGGCACTCACAGTGGTTTGGCACGGGTCTCCCGTTGGTTTCATGTATGGTAGCTAGCTTTCTCTTGAACGTAATTTGAATAATTCAGTAAAAGCCCACTAGCAGCTGTACTTCTGCAGCCTCTTCCATTCTTTTCAGCATTATAATTTTGGTTAATTTTCAATTTTAGGTCCTACGTCTCTGCAATTTGTGTATGAATAACAGAATAATTTCCCTCTTTTGTTTCGCCTTTCCTGTTCCTGAATCTAAATAAAGATGGCTTTTTAGTATTAAAAGTGGGGGGAAATTACAGGTAATTATCTTTGACGGTAAAAACGCTGTAATCAGCGGGCTACATGAAAAATTACTCTAATTATGGCTGCATTTAAGAGAATGGAAAAAAAACCTTCTTGTGGATAAAACCCTTAAATTGTCCCCAATGTCTGCCTCAAATTGGATGGCACTGCAGCTGGAGGCTTTGTTCCGCCGTGATCCTGGGGAGCGCACAGCCCAAAGTTTCGCAGTGGGAAGGGGGGAAAAGAAAAGAAAACAGTTTTCCTAATGGAACAATGCGAAGGGTAGAAAATGACGAGACTGATCGGTTTAAAACCATTCTGAAGCCTGACTGCGCGGGGAAGTTCCTCAACAAAAAGGGAGCGGGTCTCTGGGTAAGTAGTCTTTGCTTTGTGCCTAATTATAGGGACTGTCCTTTTGCGCGGCAGCGGCGGCGGCGGCGGCGGTTGTCATTAGCCTGGGGGGAGCCTGGGAGAGAGCGAACGGCCCATTGACTCCTGATCAATGGCGCCCGGCATTCAAGGCTCAGGGTTTGCAGGCCGCCCAGAGCTGCAGTAGCCATTCATTCTCGCAGTATGGGGCTGGCGGCCGGCTCTGCAGACCGAGGCCTTTACAGTGCCCTTGCCTTAAGGGCTTCCCACCCCTCTGTTCAGGACCCCCAAAGAGCCCCGACTCATCCTGGCCTGCTACCTAGTGGTCAAGGGCCCTCGGGCCCGGGATGGTGGAGACATAACTTGAGCCAATTCGTGGGTCCCGGAGTTTAGCTTTAAAGACGCAAAAAGCTTGTTTCTGAAACAAGCCTGCAAGTGGGTGTTTGGGGGAGGGACGAGGGGAGAAAGCAGGGTCTGAGGAGGGGGACGGCCACCTCTTTGCTCCTTTCCATTTCTGTGTTAAGACACAATCATATCCCTGGAGATTGACCTAAGTATGTCTCTTGAATTTCAAAGGTAGAAAGCGATGAGGGACAGGAGAAGCAAGTGAAGGAAGAAGAAAAGGGGGGAAGGGAAGGCTAGTCACCAAGACACCACGATTCATTGTGAAGCAGTTCCGAGAAAGGAGAGTGGTCCCCACAATGTCCCTTTTCCAGGGGCCTGGTTTTTATAGAAAGAACTTTCATCCCTTATTGGGGAGGTCTTTTTTTTTTTAAGTGGAAGAAAATAGAGTATGGGGGCGGGGTGGGGGAAGAAGGAAGAGAGACGGAGGGAGGGAGGGTGAGGGAAGGAGGGGGAAGAGAGAGAGAGAGAGAGAGAGAGAGAGAGAGAGAGAGAGAGAGAGAGAGAGAGAGAGAGAGAGAGATACAGACAGAGATAGAGACAGAGACAGGGAGAGAGAACTCAGCGGCATTTTGTGGCTTTTACTCCATATATGAAAGAAGACAAAAACATACAAAGTCTCTGTACAGCTAAAATTCAACAATATAAACAGAAAGTTTCTCGTTCTAAGCGTCCAACGAGCTGCTCCGTAAATAGGGGTCGTCGGCAGCCACTTTACTGACTGAGCCTTGCCAAGTCATGGGTCGGCAGGAGGTGTTGGTGCGCTGTCCTCTGTCTTTCCTCCCGAGTTCAGGGCTTGGAGAAGGTGGCAGGGGACGGGGACCAGGGAAGCAGGGGCTGAGGATGGACAGTGGGCTCTGTCTGTCCGTGTTCCTGCTCAGCCCACTTGGAGCACAACATGCAGCTTCCCCCTCACCGGCCCCCTCCAATGGGACCGACAGGCTCAAAGCATCTCCCTCCAGGCAGGGATAGGGGGGAGGAGGGCGGGGAGAGGGAAGTTGCTGTCGCCTGTCCGGGATTGGCAAAATCCACCCGCAGGAGGAGTGTAAGCAGCTTCTTTCTCCTCATTCATCTGGGGTCGGTTTCTAAACTCCCGAAACCAGTGAAAGCCTGGGCGTGGTAGAGAAAGGCGCTCTCTCCAATGGGCTAGAAAGTCTGGAACAAGATTCTGCCGGCAGGCCCCATCGGGCTGCCCCAAACTGACCACGTGGGAGTCCCTGGGAACCGAGAATCCTCATGGAGAAGTGTGGAGAGCTGGAGCTCTCCCCAAAGCTCCAGCCACTGCAGCTAGGCTGTTCTGTAGGGGAGACGGGGGGAGGGAGGGAGAAAAGCAAAGCAGAAAACCCAACCGGCCTCCTGGTCCCCTCCTGGCCCCGCTTGCCTGGCACCGCTTGGTTTGGGGACCCAGGGCAGGGAGCTTCCCGGCCCTGGCGAGGATGGCTCCTTTGCCAGCTCAAGGCGAGCGCCTCGGGGTCACATCATCTGCGGTCTCTGCATCGTGTCTTGGTGTGGAGAAGAGTACCAGGGAGAGTAGCCCGGCATGTAGCTGCTGGGGGGCATATTGACTCCCTTGGCTGAAGCAGAAACGTCCCACACGGGAGGCAGGGCCGGCGAGCGCGGAGACAGAGCCGCTGAACCCGCCAGGGGCTCGCTCTCGTGAGGATTGCTGCCCTGTTTTAGCAACTTCTTGAACTTGGAGCGTTTGTTCTGAAACCAGATCTTCACCTGGAAGTAAAATGCAGGAGTCAGCCAAGAGGTGAAGAGCAGCGGCCGGACTCAGCCCTCCAGCCCTAGATCAGAGGCCCAGGCCTCCTCTCTCAGAGCCCGCCCGTCCAAATCCAAAGTTCCAGGTCAGGTCCCAGCTAAGCCTGAACAAGGTTGGGGGAGGCGCAGGCCCGGTGCGCTGAGCCACGGTGCCCGTGGGCTGCAGGGCCTTCTGGGGCCAGACTGCCTCAGCTCAGCCTCCACTTCTCTCAGAGTATCTTTTAAATCTCCCTTCACCCAAGTGCGTGTGCGTGTTTGCGCACAGTGCCCAACCGTGATGGTGAGCTCTAACAAAACTGGTCTTGTTAGATCCTGTGACTCTGGGGACGAGCATTATTGAGGACATGTACCGTGGGTTCAGTGTGGGTAAGAGTGTGAGTGCATGAGCGTGCCAGGGCCTTGCTTCAGCCGAAAGGTTCATCATTCATCCATCCTTCACTCACTCGCTGACTTAAGGAGCCTCTGATCACGCTGTGTTCGGGCATCCTGGAGTGACAGGACTATGCTGAGCAAAGGAGCTCAAGCCTAGGCCCCCCGGGAAGCTGAGGTGGGGGTGGAAAGGAGACCAGGCCTCTCTGATCCCCTGCTTCACACGCAGAAGTTGGTGCAAGGCCTAGAGAATGGGCCTTTATATATACACATATATAATGTAGGTGAGTGAGTGAGTGTGTGTGTGTGATATAGGAATATATGTGTCTAGGTATATATAGACACAAAAATATTTGTATGTACCCACAAATATATAGAATCACACACGTACACATTGACAGCCAACACAGCACATAGAAGGACAGATATACAAATTTAAATTCAATACACATCTACACCATACACACAACATATAGAATCACAATATACCTAAACACGTATGCAAATGTAAGCGCGCCCTCGCGCACACACACACACACACACACACACACACACACACACACACACACAATCTTAGTCTCTAGAAGCTGACGTTGTCTCAAAAGCGAAGCAGAGAAAATGCCCACAAATGGTGAGGCGGCCAGGCAGCTGCAGCCAACTCGGGCAGAGACTAGGTCGTTGGCTTCAGGGCGAGGCCGCAGTTCACTCGCAAGGTCCGCCTTTGGCCAATGCGTTTCTAACACGGTTTCAGCAAAGCCTCAAACCATCGCGCTAAGGGTCCGCCCCTGGAGCCCGCTGACCTGCCCGATATCTGCCCTTTCAGATGGAGCCGCCATTGCCCCCTTCTTACTTGCTGGCCCGTTTGCCTTCTGAGGACGTCTCCGAAGTCTCCTGCCCAGGAGTTTGGAGATCGCCAGCAGCCGGATACCTTTGCCCTGGCTATCCTGGCCAAGGATAGTTGTCCTTTCATCTTAAATCATTAGATCCCCTTTTTTAGTCTCTTTGCCTACTGTGCAATAGAAGCACCCCGTCTGCCTGGAACCCCGGAGCAGATACTCCACTGCTCCAATGCCTTTCTCTCTCGGAAAGGAGATTGTAGCTACACCTAGGTGGGATTCTTTGGGTTTGGAGCTGAGCCCTTCCGCCTAGCTGCAGCGGGCCTGGCGCTTGCTTAGCTTCGCTTCATTGCTTGGCTAGATTGAGTACTTAATCTCTCCTAGCTCCATATTGAGACTGCTCCTACCGGGTTGCAAAGCGACGCCTTCTCAGGCCTCCTGCCCGCCTTCCCTCTGCTCCATCTCGGGAGCCATCCTTGCCTTTCTTTCTATCCAGGCTCTCCACTGCAAATCCACTAACCTAGCTCAGTCAAATCTCGCCGCACGGGGTAGGCGGTGGGAGGCGGCTGTGAGGGCTCGGACGCTGGTAGCGGATGGGGTGGGAGGGTGCACAGGAGGCCAGGCCAGCCCAGGATCTCCCTCCAACGCTCTTCGATTTGTCCACACCCTGCAAATCTTCCCCTGCACCCCCAGCCGCGAGGCCCAGCGGTGAGGCCGTATTCACCGGCCCCAGCCACACCCCCTCCCCAACCAGTGTTCAACTAGAAGGCCGCCGGCAGGCGGGCAAGGACTTCCTGGGGCAGAATTACCTGGGTTTGAGTCAGGCCCAGGGAAGCTGCGAGTTCAGCTCGCTCGGGCAGCGCCAGGTACTGGGTCTGCTGGAAGCGGTGGTTCAGAGCCTGCAGCTGCAGACTCGAGTAAATGGTCCGAGGCTTCCGAATTTTCTTCCCTTTGCCGTTGAACCGGATCTCCCCGTTTTCAATGACCGTGGTTTTCTGTTGATCTGTAATCAAAGGGAGTCGGTGGGAGCGACCCTTGGGAGTGATCAGCGAGAACCAGTGCGGGACATCCCCAGGGACTTCGCTCTCCCTCCCCGAGGTCTCCCCGAGCCACAGTCGGGGTGGCAAAGCTCCAGTCTTTTTGTCGGCTGCCGGAGAGCCCGGGTGCTACCCACTGCCGAGCCCTCAGGGGTGAAACGAAGGCTGGGCTGGAGAAGTGTCGGGGGTCTGATATCCAGGCCGCAGCAGGGGGGGGAGGGAAGGCGCGAGAGAGGCAGAAGGGCGCTGTCTGCTCAGATACACAGCTGAGAAGATTCGGGCAAGGTTACTTTCCCTCACTGCCTTCCTACCTACGTCCCCACCCCCAGGCTGGTGTTTGGTGTCTGGGAGCTACCAGGGGGATTCTGCTTGGTCTCATCGAATTGTGTGCTTAGGCCAGCAGAAGACTCAGCACCCGCCTGGACTCCAAAAACACAGACACACCCTCCCCCCAGTCGTTTAGGGGGGCTTCCCTAGATCCCTAGGTGCGGCCCGGCTGCGGTGAGAAGCTGAGAGGGGGTAGGATTGTTTGACTAACTGACGGAGCCCGGCCTCTAGCCGACTCAGAAACATTTCGGGCCAGACTGCTAGCCTGCCTCCCTACCCTCAGGGGCTAACAAAGACTCTGTAGAGTTGCCCGACCTCCGGGTTTGAGAATCGACGTGGGGACAGACTGTCAACAAGCCCGTGGGAACCTTCCCCCTCTGCGGCCTGGCATAAGAATTGGGCCAGAATACCCTCCCCACCGCGTTCCTTCCCTTCTTGTTGTTCGAGGACAACAAGTCTGGCGGCTGGGCTCCACCGGCGAGCTAAACTATCATAGTGGCTCTCGGGCCCGCATAGCAGCCTGGTCTGGTGCTCTGTGGGAAGCCCCTTCCCTAGGTAGAGGCGGTGGCAGCGGGACCGCAGGCGACAACCGAGGCAGAGAAGCAGGTAGGGTAAGAAGACAAAAGGTCTGGCGAGAGCCGAATGGGGGCCCCGGGGCCAAACTGGTACTGTGTCAGTGTGTGAGTGTGTGTGCCTGGACAGAGCCTAGAAGCACACAAGCCCCTGCCTGGGTCCGGAGTTCACTCACAAACACCGGTTTACCCTCGGCGACCGAAGGAGTGCGGATGAGACCGAACTGCCCGAGAGAAGCCTGGAGCGATTCAGTGACAGGCTGGAACTGGAAAGAGGCCAGAGGCGACATCACGGGAGAGCAGGAGAGAAAGGGGATAGGGAAGGCCCGCAGCCCGAAAGGCCGCAGACAGCAGGGCAGACAGGCAGGCAAGCAGGTAGGCAAGCAGGTAGGTGGGCAGGAAGGCAGGCAGGGCAAGCGGGCAGGAGGCGGACGGGGCAGGCAGACGGAAAGACTCGGGGAGGCGTCCTGGGAGCCGGGCTCACCTGGGTCGTCGGGCCGCGTCGGGCCGGCCGAGCCGCTGTTATGGTAGGCCTGGAGGTAGGGGCTGTGTTGCGAGTGGCTCATATAGGGGTAGGCGGCGGCCAGTGAGCGGTGGCTGTAGGCGCCTCCGCCGCCCCCGCCGCCCCCGCCGCCGCCGCCAGCCGCCGAGGAGTAGGGCGCGCCGTGGTGTTGATGATGGTGATGGTGGTGATGGTGGTGGTGGGAGCCCGCGGCCGCCGCAGCCGCCGCTGCCGCAGCCGCCGCGGAATGGAGGCAGTGCAGCGGGTAGTGGGCGCCCGCCATGGCCGGCGAGTTCGGCGGCTGCTGCGCGGCCGAGTGCGGCTGCCCGGGCACAGGGGGAGGCGGCGGCGGCGGCGGCGGGGGCTGCGGCTGCGGCGGTGGGGGCGCCTGCGGGGGTGCCTGCGGCGGCGGGGGCTGCTGCTGCTGCTGCTGCTGCCCGAACTCCATGAAGGCAGATTTGGACGAGTCCTGGGCGTCCAAGCCATCAGCCATCGCGGTCATGGTCATCATGAAAACTTTGGCGGCCGGAGGGAGCGCTGTCCTCCCCGGCAGCGGCCGCCTCGGCCTGGGCCCGGCCCCCCCGGGCGGCGGCGGCGGCGGCGGCGGCGGCGGCAGCGGCGGCAGCGGCGGCGCTCGTTGCTCTAGCCTCTCCAGCCACCTTCGCGCGGGGATCCTTGCAGATGGGAGGTTGGGGGGCGGCGGCCGCGGCCGCCGGGCGCGGAGTGCTCTCCCTCTGCCTCGCCCTCCCTGGGCCTCAGCCCCGCTCGGCCTCTCTCCGGTGCTCTCTCCTGTGCTCTGGCCTCCGCTCGCTCGCTCACTCGCTCGCTCCTTTCCTCTCTCCTCTCTCTCCTTCTCTCTCCCCCCTCTCTCCCCCTCTCTCTCCCCCTCTCTCCCTTTCTCTCGCTCCCCTCGATTTTTTTTTAATAGAAAGAGATCTAGTGAGCGGGGCCTTGTTAACTAGCAGAGAGGAGGGGGAGGGCTGGCAGAGGAGCGCAGAGGCGAGGGGGAGGGGGCCTGCGCTCCCCCGTTTCCCCCCTTGGCTTTTCGGGGGCTGGTGCCGTTTAAGGCAGAGATTTTAAGGTGGATTCTGCGAAAGTTGCGCTTCTGCTATCAGACTTCATGCAGACGCCACGAGTCGAATGGTTTGTCTCCAAAGGGCAGCGCCTTCCCATTGGTCATTCAACCCCTGACGTCACAAGCGCACGGCTTCTACTGGTGCCTGTGCCTCGGAGTTCTTAGCCTACCTTCCGCCAGCCCAGCGCCAGCAAGAGAGCTGCCCATGGGCGCACCTCGGTGTGGGGCGCTCCGCTACCCTCGGCGGATGCTGGCATGGCGCCGCCGAGCCCCTGCGCCTCGGCCCGCGCCAGCGCCCTTACTCAGCCCCGCAGACCCGCGCGAAAGAAAGAATAGAAACGGGCCACTCCCTGGCCTCGCCCCTCCCCGGCCGAGGGCCTTGCTAGCTTCCTTAGCCCGCCCGCCTCAACCCCCGCCCTCCCTCAGTCGAGAGTAGATGTTCAGCAAGGCTCGGCCTCCCGGTCTCAGGGATCCCTGGCCCCCGGCCCCAGGCCTTCATGTTGCTCCCATCCTCTCCTCCAAGCCATAGCCGCCTCAGATGGCCTCTCCCGCAGCCTGAGGAGCGAGGAAAGGGAACCCCCAGAGCCCAGGGTGGCCCGGCAGCCAAGCAGGCAGAATCCTGGCTGAAGTGGACGAGTTCTGGGTTTGCAGACCATTCCCCACCCTCCTCCAAGGGATCAAAACAAACAAACAGCAGAAATCACAAGCTCCCTCACGTTGGGGAGAGGCCTCGGCACAGAGCCCCTCCTCGCGTCCCCAGCGCCCCATGCAAGCCTGACACTAATGCATTTTTTCCTATTGAAAACAGAAGCCGCTGTAATGCTTTCAAATATATGCAAATGATCCGTGTGGTTAGTGGTTTGGCAATGCTGATTACAAATGCCCTCCACTGGCTCCTTCCCTCCCATCTTCCCCTCCCGAGCCTAGAGGGGCCGAGTGGAGCCGAGGCGAGAGCCACTGTCCTGGCTCTGGCCTGGGCCTGGCCGGGCCCACGCCTGTCTCTTTCCCCATTGCTGTCCCTGTTGCGGCCTCTTCTCGTCTTTGCCCCAGTCGCGGTCCCGGTCTCCTTCTGTTCCTGTCCTTGCCCCAGTCGCGGCCCCAGGCCCGGCCCCAGCCCGGCCGGTCCGTCCCCAGCCCCGTCCAGACGCGTCCTCGCCGAGCCTCAAATCCCAATTCCGATTGATTGTATTTTATCATCAACATCGTTAATGGCAAAACTGGAGCCGCGCGCGCCACTTATTGTTTGCAGTTATTTTTACTTGGGGGAAGGAGGCAATTAGGGCTGTAATCAGGAGCCGTGATTAACTGCGGCACTTGGTTCGAATGGGAGCCGCACAATTCCGAACAATTTCCCTGTAATGATTATGGACTGGGTTTATTTTGGGAGGTGGAATAAAAGTGGATATAGCATAAATTATCCTCTAATTATACGCTGCTGTCGCCTCAATTATCCTCTTATCAAATGCTTGTCTCCCCGCCGCATTTAGTTTCAATTCTCTCCTTTTTTTTTCTATAAAAAGAACTTCATACCTTGTTATTATTAGTCCATTTATTATTTGCCAGGGGATTTATAGGGGAACATCCAGGTGGTGGTAGGCGCACTCCTTCTGCAAAGATGGACGGACTCGGGGAAGAGACGAACTGGGGAGCTCCCCACCCTCCCCGCGCCTCCGCCGCCGCCGCCGCCGCCGCAGCAGCAGCAGCAGCAGCGGCCAGGCGTCTCTAGAAGCTTGGACTCGCCACCCTCGCTTGTTCGCTCGTTCTCCTCGTCCTCTCTCTCCCTCTCTCTTTCTCTTTCTCCCCTCTCCCTCTCTCTCCCCCTCCCCCCATCTCTCTGTCTCTTTCTCTCCGTGTCTCTCATTCCTGGTACAAACCCGCTTGGGTCTAGCCGAGCTCCCTAGCTTCGGATCCTGTGGAGGCTACCAGGTAAGCTGATCGGGAAAATGGACTGACGGGTTCCACCTGGCAAGGCGTGTAGGTGCGAAAGTAGCCAGTGCCCCTCGGCCTGAGCTGGGGCTTGTGTTGTATGTGTATATATGTGTCTTGTGAAAGAGTGTATTTGGGATGCTTGTGTGCGTGTGAGTACGTTGTGTATGTGCGTGCGTGTGTGTGTGTGTGTGTGTGTGTGTGTGTGTGTGTGTGTGTGTGTAGAGGGACCCCGAGCTTCCAGACCAGCCTGGGCCGCGCAGTACACCGAAAGAAGTACAGACCGATCCAGGACCCCGAGGACTTCACCTGGCCCAGTGGGGCTTCTGGAGTCGCTAGCTTCGGATTCTTCGCAGAGAGCCCTGGGGGCCCTCGAAGAGAAATGTGTGTGAGAGAGCCTGTGTGCCGGTGTGCATGCCTATTCGGAGACTCTACAGCCTCAGGCGGGCTTCCTTCTCTTTGGAGAAACAAAGTGTCTGGAGTTCCGCCGCGGACCTCCAAGGCCAGGAGCCAGTCCTTAGCCGGGTGGGCATTGCAGTGTGGGGAAGGCTTGCCAGGTCTCTTACTCGTTACCTCCTGGACTGGCACAGGCCGGGGGCGCCGTTTGCATTTCTTTTTGTTTAGTGGGCTAACCTCTGGAGTCCGGTAAACTGGGGAACGGGTGCTTAGCGGCCAGGCCCAGAGCTCCATGCTCCCCACGAGCTACTGCTCTTCGAGTTTCTTCGCATTTTCTTCATTCCCTTTTTTCTTCCTTCCTTCCTTCCTTCCTTCCTTTCCTCCTCTCTAAAACAGAACTGTGCCCATAGGATCTTCTCCCAGGGTTTCTAGGATGAAGTCCCCCCAGTCCCTCCGCGCCTCCGAATTCATTCGTGAATGTTGGTCCTTGTTTGACCACTTTGCACAAGGGTTCTGCTTTAACACGGGTAATCTGATCCACTAGCTTCAAACCTGCTGTGACTAGAATGTTCAGGGCAGCCCAAGGTGGGTAGGGAGAGAAGGAGGGAGGGGGATGCAGGGGGAGAAAAGGACGCCAGCTTCCCCCTGCAAGTTAGCTGGTATTCCAAGGGTCTCGTACTGCGCTCGATACTGGCCAGGCCGTCTGGGCTGCACGTAGACCTGTCAGTTTTATTACCTCAAGCCCACAAGTTGGTTCTTAAACGCGGGAGGCGCTTCCCCCCTGTGGTTTTTGCCTCGGCAGGTGCAGCTCCAAAGCTTTGCGCCTGACCTAAGTCCCTTTTTCCTCCGCCCACCTCACTCTTCTCAGAAGCAAGACCTTAGCAGGGTGTTGGGGGCGGGGGGGGCAGAGAAGGCAGGAAAACTAGATCACCACACAGCCCTGAGGATTGCTGGGACCAGGAGGAGGTTTCGGTGGCTGTGTCAGAGCGGGATGGAACACAGCAAGCTAGTGGCCTTGGCCAGGTGCCCCCCTCCCCCTCAGGGCCTCGGGGTTCAAGCACCCCGCGTCGTCTGCACTTTCTCCTGCAACCAAACACAAGTTTGTCTTCTTCCTCCTAAGCCTTTTTGAAGCCTGCGCTGTCTCGGATACTGCCCCTTTCCCAAGATCCAAGTGCTCCTGTCAACTTGGACCTGGCCGCCAATGTTGCGAGTGGCCCGAAGGCTTAGAGGAACTAGCCCTATGGGCCGCCCAGCGGGCCTAGTTTCCAAAGCTTGCTAGCTGGCCTCTGGGAAGCGCAAAATCCAGGCCGCTGGACAAGGCTGAGCGTGAGGCCCACCTTTGACTCCCCGACTTCCCATCACCCCGTCTACCCCATCTTTCCGCGTTTCATCGGCAGTCTCCAGGCCAGGATGTAGACAAAGGTTGGCTGGACAGAAAGGGAGGAAGAGGAGGCCTCGGGCTGTCAGAATTTATGACGTCCTCAAGGTTGGCCGGTACCTCCGAAATCCCGGAGATGTCCGGGAAATAGAAACTGTCCGGGAAATAGAAACTATCCGGCTCGGAGGCCTCCAGTCCCTGGCCAATCGCTAGGTTCCCTGGCTTGCAGGAGGCCAGGTTGTTCCTAGCTGTTCTGCCCCACCAAAGAGGGCAAGGCCCCCTGAAAGGCAGCTGGGCCAGGGAAGGCCCGGTGTCCTCCAAAGACATCGGGAGATTCGCCACTGGGCAGGGAATCCCCGGGAGGTCTGGCCCAGGGCGGCAGCTGGAGTTAACATCAGCTCAGAAAACTGCAACGCCCGCAGGAGGTGAGAGTGAACGGCATTTTTTGAAGAAACACTAAGGAGGACACCGCTGCCCCCCAGGAACTCCCACCAGCCTATGCAATCCTCTCAGGCCTGCCCCTGGATGTAAGGGAGGGAGAGGGCACGATGGGAAGTCTCTAACAGTGTATAAAAGATGAGAGAGAATGACTATTAGTGAGGGAGGTTGGCATTCTTGGCCCAGGTCTGGGGGCCAGTAGCTTGGGCGCTGCAGCCACCGCTCTAGAATGTGGGTGCTGGTTAGAAGCCAGGTTGGCTTTCGAAGTTAAGCTTTCTTACTACATTGATTCTAATGAAATCCGACCTGTATAAATCGCGTTGGATTAAAAACAAAACAAAACAAAAGCCAACCAAACAAACAA